AGAAATTAGCCTTCTGCTGAGCACATCTATGAAACACTTATTCATATTGCCATCATCTTTTTTGTTTATACAAAGGTATTAATTATGTTGCTGGGACGTGAGGTAATTCAGGAAACATTCCTAACATACAGGGCACTACAAATGCTCATGTAACGTTGAAATACTGGTAACACCTAAATAGAGGGAATTTTAGAGGAAATTTTTGTTGCACAGCTAGTTTGTGACCACCTAAGTTGTTTCTGCAGTTTAATTCAGTGCCTGTCAAAATTTGAGGCTTGTCCCTTAAATCTAATGAAGATTATAACCTTATTATTTCATTTAACCCTGCAAATGAGTGATTTATGAGTTTCTCAGATCTTCTAAATTTTACCTAGTTTAATGAGAATTCTAATGTTTTATGTAATTTTTCTAAATTTATAAAATCAGGAATGCAGGCTGAGGTAGTGTCTCGGTATTCAATACAGATAACTAATGTCAGGAGATATTACACATTTTTGAAGGAGGAAGAGCTAGTGATTTATCACTGTGTTATGGTCCATTAGTACTTTTTCTGAAAGAATTCTGTAGTCCATAAAGCTAAGCAGGATGAAGATACACAGTGGTTTTGTTGAAGGTAAATGGACAACTCAAGTATTTTATCACTGCCTGCTGCCCCACTAGATTGTTTTAAGCAGTAGTAAATTCCTAGCTGATTGGATTTAGTTTACACATGACTTGGCATAAGGAAAAATGTAGAATACTTCTTGTGCTGTAAGAATGATAACTTTGCATTGCTGAAGGAATATTTGGTACTCTCAGATTGTTCCTATCCAAAAGAGCATAGCATTACTTCCTCTTGAATAAAAGAATGTAACAAACAATACCTTTTGAAGGCTTACTGGTTTTGCTCCTGCAGTCTGGCAGCAATGGAGAGACAGTCATTTGTGCTCTGAAATCGCCAAGACTGTTGAAGCATAATTGCAGAGAAGAGACTTTGTTGACTTGTGGAAGGTTGGGAACACCAATTAAGATTCACTCTAGTTAATGTTTTGCTGTTCAGCTGCTGAAGAATATTTCTCTTAATTTCTTTTATTTTAAAGGAGAAAATTGTTTATTCTAACCATGATTCTTTTGGTTTGTGCAACTTTTGGGTGATTCCACCTGCTGTTTTCCCATAAAGAGGTTTTCATTGCTGGGTATCTCAGCTGAAGTTAGCCATAATCAACAGATCTGAACTTCCTGCTCATAGATGTGACCTTCCCCACCCTTTGTCAACTCAGTGCTGACAAGGAAGGACACTAAAGAAGGAAGTTCTTAATCTTTTAACTTGGATAAGAACAGTCTTACTTTGAGTTGAACTAAACCACTGGAAGAAAGAGAAACAGAGTTGAAGATTACCTGCTTATTAGATAATAAAATATGGGTTAGTTTGTTGTAACTTAATAGCATACCTGTTGGGTTTCCCTCATCAAGTTTCTCTGTGTTACTGTAGTCCGACTCCTTAAGCCAGCCTTAATTTTCTGTAGCATATGAGCTGAGAGCAGAATCCTGAATGAGGGACAGGTTTTCAAGTTATTTAGGCACCATTTTCCATGCTGAAATAGGAGTGAGGTAACATAGTAACTGCCACTGTTGTACAGCCAGATGGAACCTATGGAGTTATGCTGAGGCAGTAGTAGTCTAAATATTCTAGTAAGTTCAGTCTGGTAATGTAGTGCTCTGTGGTGGTGTGGGAGGCTTAAAATGGACAATATGGACAATGTGGACAACGAGCTGAGTGGACAGTGAAGAGATAGAAAGTAACAGAAGCCTTGGGGTAGAAATCCTATTTTCCATTTATTGGTTGTAATATTGGAGCTCTGGTTTGAAGAGCATCATCCCATTTGCTGTCAACAGTAAGACAGGGAGAATGTGTTGGTGCACATTTATGCATTTCTTTGCTATCTGTGTTTCCATCAGTGTAAACATCCCATGTAGATACACAGCATTTCTAGGACATTGAAGCTAAACAGCATGAAATTGGGGTACAGTGGGCTAGTATAATCTGTTACAGTAGCTTGCAATAGGAAAATACAGTGATTTTTCTCACTAGTGGAAATATTCCTAATGTAAACTAAATACTTGATGTAAATTAATAATAAATAGTAAGGATAATGTAAATTAAGTAATCAATTTTTAATAATAAATAGTAATGTAAATTAAATGCTTGATTTAATATTTAAATCCTAATTAATTAAATACCCACCTCTGAGGCTTTTTTTTTTTAGCAATAGCATATTTAGTCTTGACTAATAGCTGACTTTGTGGTTTAGGAGGGAAGAAACGAGATGATGGAAAAGAGAGGAGCAAACCTGGAAATAAGACTGACTTAATCTGAGCATTTCCTAAGGGTTCACATGTCAAAGCGCATGTCAGTCTGTTGGTAAAGAAGAGATCCACCATCACCACCCCTGCTTCACTTGTTTTGACCCTTTTTCCTTGATCAGGAACTGTGCCCCTTCATCTTCTGAAATTGAATAGACAAAGGTCTTTAAATCAAACAGGATTATATAGCTAAGGTGCCTGCAAGCACTGGAATTTGCAGTTAAAAGGAAAGTTACAAAGTGTAAGCAGTAAACCTTGTGCTTTGTATGCATAGTGCAGTTTTCTTTTTTAAAAGCTCTTGTAGAATCCATCTAATGCCTACAAATATGTTAATATTGCCATCTTTGTGAAGACATTCTATATGTCTTAAAAGTCAGTAAACACGAAGGTGGCAGTCGTTTTGGGGAAAACGTTTTACAAAACTTTATGCTGCTTCTATCCCTTAGCAACTTAGTACATTTCCTTATTTTCTTAATCTTACTGTCAGCTTTGTTTCATTTGTTATCCTAAAAAAGGGAGTGCTGGTTAGAGTTTTGGTGCGTATTCCCAGAGAACTAATGCATTTTTCAGAGTTTTATTTTGGATGCAGGTCTCTCATTCTACCTGAGGCTTTGTTCAGATTATTTTTTTTTTAAATTAGCACCTGTCTTTGTATTTCTGGTATCTTCTCTAGAATGAGTATGTCTTTAAGTGATGTTACTTGGAGTCATAATTCTGCTACAGAAAGCTTGTAAAAAGTTGTTTGAGTTTCAAGCAAGCTATGTTCTCATTAGAAGTATGTATGAGATGTGAAGGGCATACAGATTGAGATTTCATAACTGAGCCCAGTCAGAGTTGAACATACCTGCTGAAACTATTGTGCAACTTTCACTGTGAATGGGTTCATTTATTGGTGTGTTTGACAGCACGTCTTCAGACGGGCCGTGAAGTCTTTAGATTGCACCAGAGATTTAGCAGTGCAGAGAAAGCTGATAGGCTTCCATTTGAAATGGTAGCAACCCTAGTGATTGCTGATGCTTACTGATAAAAAGGTAAAAAATAAGCCTAATTTCTTTGGTAAAATGGCAGAAACTCACAGAACCAAGTAATACCAGTAGCCTTGTATACTTTATTACTGAGTGGCCATGAGCCATTTGTGCCTTAGTATGAACTAACTTAAAACCAAGTTCTACTGCATCAGAATTCAAGATAAAGAGAATTGGAGTAGCTATTTTATTATTTGCAAGTCTGCAATGATGGGATGTCTTATCCTGTGGAATTTTCTACTGTTACACACTGAGGTTGTCAGTGCACTTTAATTTTCACAATAGCAGCTGAAATAAACTACTCTTGGAGATCATGCAGTGCTGCTCTTCTGTGGAGAAGCACTGATGTAAACTGTGGGCAGTCTTGACTTGACAGCTGTGCTGACAAACCAAAAAAAGATGCTTTTTGCACTAGACAGATGTCTAAGTGTTGGAAATTTTCCAGTGAGAAGCAGAAAAGCTTTATTCTTCCAGTATTTTCATGTCACATGAAGTATGGTTTAAATGGAAGGAATGTTTTCTGATGGGGGATGTTATTGCAGAGCTTTTTAGCATGCAGAGGATTAGCTTGCTAATCACCTCTCTGAGTAACTAGATTCTACCAGTTGTACAGGAAAATTCTTGATGTTGTGAATAGCGAGGCACAGTGATTAAGGAAACCAGTTATTATTCTAACTTCATTTGATATATTTGCATGGTGCAACTAGTGCCAGAATGTCTCCTGCATTTGCATGTATTTTATTATAATATTTATCAAATATAGACATGGTATTCATTGATAATTTTTTGAGACACACATTGACAAGGATCTTATCCAAATGAAAAACAATATGAGGAGAATATTATATTTTAAAATATGTAATATAGAAAGCAGGTTTTTTATAGCAGAAGTTACAGCTGGTATACGCTGTGGAGTTTTGTCCTGGAAATTTTAGTTATCAACATCAGTAATTCAGTAAATGCTGAAACATGCAAGCAGATTCTTCTCTTGACACAAAACTATACAGTTGATTTTACAAACTGTTTTTGAGGAAACTTAGAGCCTCTTTTTTTTTTTTTTTTTTCCCCCACACATAGTGTTCCATAGCATCTTCCGTCTTCTATATTTGAATTCTTCATAACCCCTTCATTCTGTTAAAATTCACTTGGATGATGAAGAGGGTGTTTCTTGTAGCAGGCAGGAAGAAGCAATGAACATATAATCCTGTGGGGTTTTTTTAGAGTTAGAGAGCATGATCAAGGATGTCTTATGCTTTATAGTGCCATACAACAGTGCAGTACAAGGCATGCATTGTGAGGCAGTTGCAGTATTAGGAATATTTTATGCTAAAAAGCAGATAGTCATGGACATCTAGTCAACTGTGTGAATGTGTAAATGGACTAAGGGTTGGGGTGAATGATATTCCACATGTTCATACCTGCTGCTTTATTGAGTATTTGATAATGATGGGCATATGTACTTCATGAAGAGGTTCATGCTTTGAGAATGATTTAATTTTTGATCCCTGTGGTTATGCACCTCATCTTAACTGAAGCTTCATTACGAAGCTACTCCCCAGCCCCCTTTTAAGGATAACAATGAAGAATGTAGTACAGGTTAAACATGCCTACATTTCATGATGTATTTCACTACACTGGATGAAGAGTTTGTTTTCTCATTCTTAGGTACTCTTCCACTCATCAAGATGGAAAGCTCAGATTCTAGTGATAAAGGAAATATTGATCAATCAGAAGCACAACGTCAGAGTCAGCTAGATCGGTTAGATCGAGAAGAAGCTTTCTATCAGTTTGTAAACAACCTGAGTGAAGAGGACTACAGGCTTATGAGAGATAACAATTTGCTGGGAACACCAGGTAGGTAATGCTTGCGTATGTACATCTTACTAGAATTTTTTGTAGGTGATTTGTGTCATTTTCTGTTCTCCTGATTGTTTCACCCATTTAGTTTGTGTGCTGCAGTTGCATTGCATGGTAGGAAGTAGCTTCTTGCTAACTTGTGCATACTCAAATTTGAGCAGTCCCCTGACTAGTGGAAAGGTAGTTAGGATGATGTGGGTTTATCAGTTACAAACATCTAGTGTTTACATAACTTGGTGGGAACACCCAGAGTTGACCCAGTTTCAGTTATATGGACCCTTAGACATTTTTGATTGAAAAGTAATATGCCTTAAGCATCTCTGTGAAAATTTTGTGTTTGTAGCTAGGATATGTAGTCTGGTATGAGATTCTGCATGGGCATTTTAATGTCAGTTTTCAATTGACTTACTACTTTGACTCTTTATAGGATGATATCTATTTCAAACCAGTTCTAATTTAAAACATGACTTCAACTAATTTAAACCTTTTTTCATGCTTGTGAAGGTGTTATCTTAAATATTTTACTCTGGACAGCCATTTAATTGGTATAGGATAATGAAAATTGCTGTTAAGTTGTAGAGGTTACAGAACCAGAAAGCACATTTGTCTTGAATAGGTTGAAACTGTTGGATCTTTCAGTTTCAGCAAAACTTAACTTAGGATAATGGTGCTGAAGTGTCTGAATTTCCCCTTAGCAACGTATTTGGCAGTCTCATTATGGCAGGATTTAATTAGAAAAAAGACAGGCAGTGGCTTGTACCTTCTTTAGAAGCTTTTGATAATGCTTGCCATACATCTGATTTGGAAATATTTTTAGAAAATTTTGCTTATTTTCTAAGGTGAAATTACTGAAGAAGAGTTGCTGAGAAGGCTACACCAAGTTAAAGAAGGTCCGCCACAGCAAAACAGTGATGAGAATAGAGGTATATACAGTATTTGTGAAAACTCTTAACTTTAGCACCCCATACGGACCTTAACTTGAGTGCAGGAGTGGAACAAGTTAAGCCTAGGCAGGTGCAAGGTGAGCTTTGTTTCAAAACTAAGTGAACATTATGTATGATATCTGCTGCAGAGGTCAGTTTGGGACAGATTTCACACATAACACATCTGTTACTTGCATCAAGATAAAGTTTCATTTAGGTTTGGGGGTTTTTTGTTTGTTTTTTTTTTTTTTTAAGATTGCCTTCCTGTCTGCTCCCCTCTGGGATGCTTTTTGGCAGTGCCTCTTTCTTTTTTTATTTGTCATTCTTCCCTTCCAAAGATGCTGTATTGCTTTCATTATCACTCTTCTATAGAGACTGGTGGAGGATGTTTGAAGCTTACCACTGAGGTTCATTCTTCAGTGAGACAGATTTGTTATAAAGCTATTCTTCAAGTGAAGGGTCAGGACAAACTTAATTCTCTATTTAGTGGTCGATAGAATACTTAATTGTTTGGAAAGGAAAACACAGAATATTGATGTGTTATGACACCTGGATTATGACTTTCCATTTACTTATGATAAACAATATGTGTTATTTTGACGATTTGCTTGCTATGTGATGGCTGCAGCCTATCTGTACATATTAGAAAAACGTCCACTCCTGCTCCCTTAAAAGAGCTCTGGTAGATAAGAGTTGTGATGCTGTGTGTGAAACCACAATAGCACTTGATAGGATTAAGCACTTCTAAATTGTCACTTGTTAAACTAAGCAATTATGTTCTTGGAAAAGATCAGTCCAAAATTAGCTCAGTACTCTAATTTTGGTAGTTCCCTGTCTTTTTCGCAGGTGCAGAGTCCGCAGAAGATGTTTCAAATGGAGATTCTATAATAGACTGGCTTAATTCAGTCCGACAGACTGGAAATACAACACGAAGCGGGCAGCGAGGAAACCAGTCTTGGAGAGCAGTGAGCCGGACTAACCCGAATAGTGGTGACTTCAGATTCAGTTTGGAAATAAATGTCAACCGTAATAATGGGAACACAAATCCAGAAACTGAGAATGAGCCATCTGTAGAGCCTTCCAGTGGGGAGGATTTGGAAAATGGCCAAAGTGACTCTGAAATTCCAAGGTCTGACTCACCATCTGTAAGGCAGCCTGGATCAGAAAGGAGCACTTCAGAGGAGCTAACAACTGAGGAAGTTTCCCCTCCTAGAGGGCAGAGGAGAGCGAGAAGTAGGAGTCCAGAACAGCGGAGAACGCGGGTTAGGACTGATAGAAGTAGGTCACCTATTAATCCAGTGAGTGAAACTCCTCGCAGGTCTCATCACAATACATCATCTCAAACGCTTGACCGCTCCTCAGTGAATGAAGCTGAGGGAAGCTCTAGAACTAGGCAGCATGTGACATTAAGGCAGCATACAGTGGGGACTGAGATGCCAAGTGAAAATGCGGTTCTGTTTTCAACCCCTGAAACAAGACCTGTTCCTCAAGCAGCAGGCTCTTCAGAAACTAATGGCACCAGTGAGTCCACAACTCCTGGGCAGAGGCCTCCTACCATAGTACTTGATCTTCAGGTCAGAAGAGTTCGTCCAGGAGAATATCGGCAAAGAGACAGCATAGCCAACAGAACTCGGTCCAGGTCCCAGACACCTAACAACACAGTCACTTACGAAAGTGAACGAGGAGGGTTTAGGCGCACGTTTTCACGTTCAGAACGAGCTGGAGTGAGAACTTATGTCAGTACCATTAGGATTCCTATCCGTAGGATCTTAAACACAGGCTTGAGTGAGACTACATCAGTTGCTATTCAGACTATGCTAAGGCAGATAATGACAGGCTTTGGAGAGCTGAGTTACTTTATGTATAGCGATAGTGATGCAGATCCTAGTGGTCCAACTCCAAATCAGAACGTGGATGCCTCTGAGCCACAGAATGGAGCTGGAGGTACTTCAAGCAATGAAGGTGCAGATGTTAGCTCAGGGGAGGTGTATGAAGGTGGTAATGAAGGTGGCTCAACATCTGGTGCCAGACGGGAAGGTCGGAACACAAGGGGCTCGGTCACATTTGAAGAAAGTGGTTCTCTACCATTCCTTAGCCTAGCACAATTTTTCCTACTAAACGAAGATGATGACGACCAACCAAGAGGACTCACCAAAGAACAAATTGACAACCTAGCAATGAGGAATTTTGGTGAGAGCGATGCTCTGAAAACCTGTAGTGTGTGTATTACAGAGTACACAGAAGGCAACAAGCTCCGTAAATTGCCTTGTTCGCACGAGTATCATGTCCACTGCATTGATCGCTGGTTATCAGAAAATTCCACTTGTCCCATTTGTCGCAGAGCAGTCTTAGCTTCTGGTAACAGAGAGAGTGTTGTCTAAATGAGATCTGAATTTATGGCCGAGCAGCTAGTGTGATAGTGATGGGCAAAGAAGTCACTTCCTTTATGGCCACTTTTTGAGTGGTACCTCAATGTATAGTAATGACTTGGAGTAAATCTTCCCTCATGAAAGCATTTTCTCTGGATTCAAGCTTTTAAAATTGGAAAATTTCTTTAATTGGGGTCTTCAAGATCTAGTTGGTTTGGGTGTTAAATTTCACTTGTCCAAAGACATCTACTCACTTAAATATTTTGTTTCTTTGTGAAGAGTATTAAGTTCTTCCCCTCACCCAGCCCCTGCCATCCCAGTCCAATAAACATTTTGTCCTCAAGATTGTGCTTATGAGGAGTTATTTGAGAAGTCATCCCATCTAAGTGTACATGAGTTGTAGAGGAATTTTTGCAAGAAATCCAACTATCTGAAAAAGTAGGAACTTAATTGCACACTTGAACATACTTTTAATTTTCATACTGGGTTAATATTGGACATGGCTCTGTAAATAACACTAATGTTAGCCCTTTCCCCATCACTATGGCACGCTGTAGGATGAGCTGTTAGCTTAATTGGGATATTTATCTTGTTGTGGAAATATAAGAATTGCCTATGCTTGTTTAAATAAAAAAAAAAAATCTGTTTTAAAATTGTAAAGCTTTTTTGTAGAAGCTCAGTACTTTTCCAATGCACTGTTGTACTAATGCATTAAGAATTAAAATTGTACCATGCTTAGAAATCAAGAATGCTTTTCATACAAAACCCACCACAGAGAGCAAACTAAATACAAGAGAGTGCTTTTGTAACTGTGTACCTGTCAAGAGCAGTGCATATCTGTACTATTTATGTGAACAGCTACTGTAATATAAAAACAGTTGAATTAGACATCTTAATTGCATTAAAAAACCCCAGAAATTAAATGTTATAATTGCAGTGTTTTGGCTCAGTAATGCCACCAAAAAAGACGATAAAAATTAGAAACTGTTCTAATGGCTGGTTATTTCTTGGTATGGTTGCTAATATGTAATAATATAAACCGGTATATACCAGTTCAGTCAGTGACATATATATGCCCAATTTTTCTATCACCTTTTACTTTCAATTTTCAAGGCAAGTCGGTGTAACTATTCAGCAGACAAGTATTGACAGGGTTGGTTGGTTTGGTTTTTTTTATTCCCCACAAGCTTCAGCTATGTTAATAATATCTGGATCTGTTGAGTGAACATGTTTGTAGCCTGTGACTTACATGTCACAGAAAAATAACTTAAATATTAACTGGAAAACAGGTTATGAGTGTGTTAGGTAAAATTTGAAAATTATAATTGATTGTGGGAGTGCACTTAAATGTGTAGCAAATTCTAAGAATAGAATAACTTCAAAAAAACAAACTTCATACTCCTACTGGACAGATTAAAATGTACCTCATCAGTCAGGGGAAAACATCCTTCACCCTTAATGACCCCTTCTTTGTTTTATACTCTAATGATTATATTTTTTTTTTCCTAGCTTACATTGTAAGAGGGAAAGCAGTATTTATTTCAACTCCAGGGCAGTAGTTATGAAGTGATATGAACTGCTCTTGCTGGCTATATGGGAAATGTTGCTTGTTCCTCAGATGACAACACCAAAGCTGGCCTATCTCTTTCCTAATTAAAAACATTTTTGATGTTTTATAGTGGTGGTTGCATAAACTATAATATCAGCGCTAAGCCATTTTACCATCTCATCAGCTACTTAAGGATTTCACGATGTCCCAAAATTCCAAATTTTTTCTACGTGTGTTTTGCAGTGTTTGGTCAGTGGGAAACCCTGACTGGCTATTGAGCTTGGGACACACCATTGTGGCAGAGGGGTTATGTGTATTCTTTATGAACAGAAAAATAAGATAATATTTTTAAATTTTGTCCTCTGACATCCATCACTGTAAAATCGGAAGTTAGCTGTTAATTTTGGGTGCTGGACTGCCAAAATTTCCTCAACAAAATAACACTTCTGAATTAACTCCAGTAGCATTCACATAGGAAATACATGCTATCAGTTTCAGCTTCCTGTAGCTTTATGACTTTCTGGAGCATAGAATTAGAAGAAAAAAGCCCTATTTATGTGAATACCATGTTAGATTTTAAAACTCTGATGGACATCTCTGAGGACTAAGGCTGTTGACCAGAAAGAAAGGAGCCCACTAGTGCTGATTAATGTGAAGCACAGCTGTGATACTGTCATTCAGCATAGCTTTCTTTTTAATGTTCTGAGTTTCCAGTAACTGTTTGCGTTGGTAGAATCAACTTTACAGCTTTATAATAGTTTAATAGTGGCATGCCTTAACATTTTATCTTTCTGTAACAATAGCAACTAATAAAATGTTGGAGGTTTCCCTAATGATACCAAGAACAAATAATTGAACCTCGGTTCAGAAGACCTTAAATGTTCTCAGTATTTTATATACATTTTCCAACACTAAAGGTGCTTGGGGATTTGTCTGATGTCTGGAGGAGTTGGCAGAAATTAAATTGCTGATATAGCAAATTCATTTTCTTTATGTAGCTGACTCATGTCAGCCACTGTGGTAATTCAATTTCTATTCTTTTAGATTGGGATTAGGAAAAGCCAATATTAACACTTCAGGTGCTAACAAAATATGAAAGATTCTAATTTAACAAGGTTCATGGTTAGCTTAACTAAGTTTATGAATCATTTTGCATTTGTACCTGGCACTTCCCTCACTTTATCCTTTCTTGGTGTTACAGGAGGGATATGGCCGCTTGACTCATGTATGCTTATAGCCATATGAAGGGTTAAAGTGGCTATCTTTGTCATTTTCAAAGGCCTGATTGTGCAGAAATGAGGAGTCTGAAGAGGCAGACAGCCTTGCTGCAGCAGCTGCCTGGTTCACAGTGCCACCGTGTGGGAGCCTCTCTCGGCCTCCTTCAAAACCAGGGTCACTGTCTCCTCGCTCAGAGCAGCGTGGTTCCTTTTGCATTGAAGGCTATCACTTTATTTTTGAAGGAGGTTCCTTGTTACTGGCCGCCTCAGTAGTTACCGTGGTTTTTAAAAACTGCAAACCACCCAGGCTCCTGGTGTGAGTATGTATCTGACATGTGAGTTTAATTCCTTTCTGACAGGACAGACCTGTACCTGCAGGACCTTCATACACAGCAATTAAAGCAGTCACGAGGCCAAAACCTAGATGAACGCACAGTGTTTTCTATTTAAGAGTGTGTTTGATAGTTTTACTCAGATTGTGGACTGTCACAAAATTGTGGGTGTTTGCCTTTTTTTTAATCTGGGTTTTATCTGTTAAAAGACTGAAGAGTTATTCCTGGGGTTTCTTAGATTTCCCTTCCACGTGCACTTTTTTATTTCTTTGAACAAGTTGGGTTTTTTGCAAAGAACTGTGGGCAGTTAATTGACTTGTTTTTAAAATTATTTGATTAGTGTAGGTACTGCATGCATAGGAATTACTCAATAAAAGTTGAAAGGCGTTTTGTAAGAAGTACTGATGGGCAGGCACAGCAGCTGCACTGACATGATACTGTACCAGTTTTGAAGGAGCCATAATTGTCCATTGTGTCAACTTGCAAACGAATGGATTTCCCACCAAAGTTGCCACAATGGACCATAATGACTGTCATTCCAGTTTCCTGTCACTTGTCTGGATTATGCAAATGTGAAGAGTCCACAGGACTCTTTCCCTGGTATATCTGCAGTCCATGTTTATTTGCAATGGGTGCCTACATAAAGAGGAGGTTCCCAGTGGTCTCGTAATAATGAGGGTCTAATGAGAAGATGAGAAAAGAAATGCTGTCAAGGCTGACCAGCAGTCTCTGACTTCTAGCAGTGCAATGAGGGGTTTTCTGAATCTCCCAGTGTGATCTTCACCATCACACTGCAATACAAAGTTTCTTCCAGCTTTGCCAGTTTAGTCGCAACCTTATCTTTAATTTGGGATCCTTTTCATTAATATGTACATTCGTGTAACTGATGTCTTGGTTTTCTCACCGGTTATCCTTGCTCCTACTGTGGGGGCTCGCGTTGCTTGTGTAAGGGTATGTAAGCAAGTGTGGGGCTGATGAGGTACGCTGTTGTGGTGGAAATGTCTGCCTGCTCCTCTGCCTTCTCCCAGGAGGAGGTGTTTTGGATGAGGGTTGACCTGGAGCCACAGTAAGGGAATTTCTAACAAATTCAGAAATATTTCCAACCCTTACATACAGTAGATTTTTTGTTTGTTTATCCTTGACTAGGAAGGGAAGAAGGAGGGTCAAGAAACAGAATCAATGGTAATTTACCCAAAGTACATATAAGTTGTGTTGTGTTTAAAAAAAAAAAAAAAGTTTGCATCTGTTATACCAGGGCTTCCCAACCTCTTTGATGTGAGGTATCTTTTTTTTCTTCTTATGGGGAAACATACCATTGAATTTGTTTTGATTGTTTTATCTGGTTTTGTTCCCTTAAGCAAAATACCTGAGACCCCTTCCTGAATTTCACTGTCTGCTAGAAAGGCTGTTGGTTGGGAAGCCCTGAATTCAACCGAGAATGTAACAGTTTTCTTTTTTCTTTTTTTTTTTTTTTTGTACAGTGCTTTACATCTGTTTATACGGGACTTGTTTAATACAAAATGGTACTCTGAGGTCATTGGACAACAGTTTGACCAGATTTGATAGCTAACATTTAGGAGGAGTTTGTTCCCTATGTAAGATGTCATAATGCAAATTTAAATAGACTCAATAAAATGCATGAAGTGTTCATTTTGTGCTTGATCATCACTCCTTGGGTTTTTTCTTCCTATGGTGGGAACACACTGGAGTAAATGGTGGTGGATGTGGTAGGAATTTATTTCCTCCATATGCCTTTTCCCTTGAGGCTGGGCAGAAAGGAAAGAGTTGGAATGGTACAGAGTTAACTTCTTGGTAGAATTTATTGCTCCTTAGTACATAAAACTGAAGCAATAAATCTCACTAAGTCCCAGACTTTGTAAATCTGTCAGTGGATAATGTGAGATACAAAAGCAGTTTCTGCAAGTGGTCTTTCAAGTAGTAGCTGTGACTTTTTCGGGTGCCCATGAGTACCAGAGCCCGGTGGTCAGAGCTGTCAGGGCAGATTCTCCCTGGAAATACACTTTGCAGTGTTCAGCAGCTTTCAGGAGAAGCTCTCACATAATGCAAAGCTTCATCCTAAAATTAGTAGCTGATGTACGTGCAAATGCTTGCTTGAGTGGGAAGGAAATTTTTTAGGACATGGGAAGCTGCCTTTATTAACCAGCGCTTCCCTCACCTCAAACCCATTCCTTGAGTGGGAAGTGGGAGCAGCTCCCTGAGAGGGGCGTGTTGATAGCAAAAAAAAAAAAAAAAAAAAAAAAAGGGTTAGGTAGCTAACTTTCTATAGCTAGCTTTCTATAGCTTGAAAACACGCAACGCCTGGTGTTTTGGGTGCCACGGCAGTGGGTAGCAGTATCACAGCTGGGCTGATGCTTGACAGCACTGTGAGTGATGCTCCTGTTCAGTAAGGAGGAAAGTTGTGGGCTTCTCCAGGCATGTGTTGAGTTGGGATTCTGCTCCAGTTTCACTCTCCACGGGGAGAACTCTTGGATAAGGGTGGGTTTTTTTCCACATTCATACATGCTTCATCTTGAACTCCGTGGTCTATCTTGCTCTTTCAGTTCAATCTGAAACTGAGTCTTTAACGTAAGTGTTAATTTTTATCTTGGTGATTTCATTCATGAAGTGGTTCCCACACTTTCAGTACCAGGAGCTCTTTGCCAGGTCACTGAGTCCAGCCCCACATCTCCCCATAGGAAGTCTTTTGGTTTGGGTAGCCCTGTATTTATTCCTTAAAAACCGTCAATCAACCCCCAAATTGCTTGAAGAATCCAAACCAACCTTGGAGCACATGTGTGGCTGACTTCATCCCTATGTTTGTTTTCTTTAATATATTTGAGGTCTTTGTTCTGGCCTGTAAAACTTTATATAACCTTGTTCCTCCCTCTCAGTGCTTAAACCCTGTAACCTTTTACATTGTCCTACTCCTCTCTTCAGGGTGTATTTCCGTGGCAGATCCAGACCTTCACAGGGGAGTGTGTTTGGCTGCTTTGCCTGTCCTGCTGCTGGGTGGGAGGAAAAAGGTTGTGTTTGGCAAACCTGTCCATCCCAGAGCGATGGGAGTGCAGCACAAATCATGCATTTGGGGGCTTCTCACCTCCAAAAGGGCTCTTCTGACTGTTCCTCAGTGGGATTGAGTGTTTGGAAATAGGTGGGGAGAAAAGCAAATGCTGGCTGCTGCTCACTTGCTCTTCCCAACTATTTCAACTGTGATTGAACCTGTTTTGGGGCTTTTAATATAATGAATCTAAACTGAGCTCTGTTGTGGCTGTCTAAACACTTACAGTAAAGTTATATAGGGAAAACTAACTAGTCTTAAACTGGAGTGGCATTGTCTCTGACGCTAATGAGATGCTGATGCTGCATGCTCCAACTGTTCCCCTGAATAAATCCCCTGTTAAACCAAGCATATGAAAATCCAGGCGTCAGGTCCCCTCAACAATGATTACTTCATAAAATAGGATTCATCCCATATTTGGGTTTCTTGAGTTTTGGCACCCTACACCAGCAGGGTCCTGGGTTTTCAAGGAAAAAAGCAGCACCTTTCCAGGAGCTGGATGGGGCCTGCAGCTCCAGCAGCCAGCAGAGCAATACCTTGTGCAGTGCCCTGCAGGAGGGGAGCTGGCCATGCTCCTGGTCACCAGCAGAGAAGACTTTTTTGCACTGGTTTGATTTCTCAGAGTGGATTTGCAGAATGTGATTTCTCCAGGCTGAAAGTTTGAGGCCGGTGTTTTTTTGCTGTGGTGGAGCAGCTTTGCTCATTGTGATGGGTCCTGTAGAAATGCCATGAAACAAAAACTGCCTGGCTTGGTTTCTTGGCTTTGATACCTGCTCTAGTCTTTCCTTTCACAGCAGTGAAATGGCCCTGATGACACTGCCCCAGACTAAGACCCCACGTTTTGCCCTGTGCCTGCAAAGCCAGACCTTGCCAACAGGCTGGCTGGTACTGCAGGGTGTTATGGGTGCGTAAGCTCTTGAAATGAAACCATTTCAGGAGCCCACAGGGCTCATCTCCTGACCCCAGAGCTAAGAGGTGAATGGTGGTGGGACTGCTGTGTGCCTGCCCTGGGCACTGCTTGCTGCTGGCTGAGGGGAAGACAGTGCCAGGCAGGTGAAAGGCAGGAAAAGATGCAGTGAAAGAAACAGTTTAATCTCTGTAGGTACTGCTGACTTCTAAATAAACTAAATAAATCCTAAATAAACTTGGAAATGACTCGGCCTTTGCTGCTGGCACCTTTGGGATGATCTTGCTTTAATTTTTAAAGATGGATCTAAAATAAGCTGAAATACTTGTGGGAGGGAGGGAGGCTGGGAAAAGCCCTGAAAGCTGACTACTGTCAGCTGGTGTCCAGGCAGCACTGCTCCTCCATCTTCCCTGCACACATGGCATGGCCAGGAGGGAAAGGTGGTGGGTGGGAAACGATGGAAAGGGATTGAAGGACAAAGGAGGGGAATGTAAAGAGGAGGTGAATTGAACTGAAGGAAAGCTAAGGAAGGGTAAAAAAAGAAAAGGCTTTTGAACTGCGCTCGTCTGAGTGGGACTGGGAAAAACATCAACACAGGTGGAAGAATACAGGTGGGAGCAAAACCACAGGGATCTTCAGGGTCTGGTTGCGAGGACTCAGAGCAGGTCCAGAAGGAGAAACCTGGGGACCACGGTCTGGGGCCCTTTGGAGGCTGAGCAGGAGGACAGCAGGTGCTGCCAGGGTCAGTGTGGTGTTGGCCGTGTACACTGGGGCTGGCCCAGCCTGAGCAACGCTCCAGATGAGACTGCAACAGATTTATAACCATAAAATCCCAATCCTGCGTAGAGGAGGTGCATGCCAGCACAATAGCTGGAGTCTGCAAGGGCTGCGGGGGGGACACACATGGGGCCCCACTCGCACCCCACCCTGCAGCCGCGGGAGGGGCTGTTTACACAACCCTGCTGAAAAAGCCCCTGAACGCTCCTTGTGTTTCCAATGCGGGATCGAGAGGGGCTGTAGGTGATTGGGAGAGACTTGTTTAGTGCATCTCTTGGGCCAAAAAAAAAAAAAAAA